TCGCCCGCCATGTGCGCGTTGACATACCCCGCCAATGTGGTTGCCGGCGGCTGGATGGCAGAGTCCTGACGACCCCCAGAACCGTGGACTATATATTTGTGTTTTTGGGGCATGTCAGCTACCTTGGTGATTTGCGCTCGGCAGAACCACATTAACCAGGGTTGTACAGCTGCATACATCCACTCAATGGAAGTCCGACCTGTTTTAGACAGATATCAGCCGAGATGGAAATTAAACACCCGTGCCGGTATGACGTTCTGACAAGCTTGCGGCGTTGAACCGGTTCATGCCGTTTATAAAAGCGTACCTTGTGCTGTGTAATACGAGGCAATAACAAAAGCATATGATCTCAGCACGTCATGGTCATAGATCATAGCACGTGGATCAACATATGATCTTGGCACGTCAGATAATTTATAGGTACCGATACCTTCGTTATGGCTTCATTGCATCATATAGCACAATTGCTGAGCACGAGCACAAGTTCCAAGATTTAGAATCAATGTGTTTTTGTTACATTTTCAAAAGTGTGTTTTTGGAAACTTTTAATCTTTAAAAAAACGCATTGATATGAATTTACCTTATGAACTATAATTTTGGATATTATTTGAAATGTGTGGTTGATTGATCAATCTGTGGCTACAAAAACATACTGAGTATATATATATATATATATATATATATATATATATATATATATTATGCAAGTGTTTTCTAAGACCATGGCGTAGGTGTGTTTAATGCACTTTTTCCGCACCCGTTCTAGTTTTCTGAGGAGCAAGCTTTATGTTCTGGAGGCTGTCGCAATTAAAACACTCACCGGAACCGAACAAGCAAACCAACCCCTCAGCCCCCCTTCACCTTATTAAGGGACGAGCAATATCATCAGTAGATTATTTATCTTACTATTCAGCATCGCTTGCCGCCTCAACTCTTATGCCCCCAAAAATGCCAACCATCTTATTAAGAAACTGTGCTGCTTGACGATCGAACTGATATTGATCATACCTAATCGCTATGCCTTACTAGTTATACCTTACTGTAGTATGTAATCACATATTCGTCGCTTGTATGTTGTACGTATGTACCTTTGTAAATGGAATGGTGGAACAAATTACGTTAAAAGGTTTGAACGTGCCCACCCAAAACCTCGAGAGTAAGGACATGGATGGCATGGGCTACAGCTTCTGTAAAACCGAACCGCTTCTGCTACTGCAAGTGCCACCAGACGGCGGACGCCGTGTGACACGCGCCCGGGTGACCGGCTAGATACCCTTCGCTCGGGGGTCAATTTAACCCCCCCCCCCGAGATCTCGGGAACTAAAAAAGCTGGAAACACCAAATTTACAGGGTGTCTTGGCCTGTACGTGAACTCGTTTAGGTAGAAGTTTGAATTTCCTAGGTCATGACCTTCAGGTCAAATAAGGTCAAACAATGTCAAGTTCCAGATGGGTCTCCAACGTGCCCCCAGAAACTAGGCAACTGTTTCTAAGCAAAACGTCAAAAGCTCATTTGAAGTCAGCGACCTTGTTTGACCTTTTGAACGTCATGGTGACCAAAATCATACAAGACTGCCCTGGGTTTTGCATTTGAATAAGCGACGAAGATTACGCTAGGCAGCCTGTTCCTAAAGCGAAATGTCGACCCGGGTCATCTTACATCAATGACCTGTTCTGACCTCAAAGAAGTCAATGGAAGATATATAATGTGGTTCCTGTTGTCAATAAATTCGAAATGAGCACCACAAACTAACCCATACAGCAAGCCCTAGAGTAATAACTCAGGCTGGTTGTGACCTTGGTCTGACCTTCATACCTGACCTTGGTTCAGCTTAATTTGCTCATTCAATATTTGTGGTGCCTAAGAAAGCAGTTCAGAAATGAATGGCTTCGTTAAACACTCCGTTGTTGTATCAGGTTGGACGATTCCCTAGAAATTGCCTTCGCCGAAACCATGGGCTGACTTTGACCTGCCATAGGTCAGCGATCTTACAAGGTACGTATAAATTTTTGATGTTTTTGATGATTTTTGACTATCTGCTATTCAATTGTCTACAGCTATGCAAAATTTGGTGCTGCTACGCCAAGCCGTCCGAAAACCATTCTGGAAAAAGCTTTCGGGGGGTCAATTTGACCCTCTCCCACCCCCCCCCCCCCCCCCCACCTGAGCTCATGTTAATCTGTTTTCTGGATAGATAAATAGCTGCGAAAATACCAAAAATAGTGATTTAACTTTAACTCTTCCCGTTCAACCACCATACTCCAGCCTCATTTTGCGGTGTTTTAGGGGCCAATCCGTTCTTTTAATCAGTCTAAGAATTGCATTCGCGAAATATGCCTTCAGACTGCCTTCCAAATGTAAGATGTAATGTCATGAAGTGTCCAAGGATACTTTTTCAGACAGATAGCCATTTTCGCCCACCCATTGGCCACAACTTAATGTTAACTGCTAGGCCGGCGCTGCACGGCCTGCGGAGACTGCAACGCCTGGGGTTGAGCCTTGTGTTTCGAAAATTATCGAGTGCGCGCGCTCAAAATTACGTCACGTAACATGTATTACTAGCCGATTTAAGTGGTTGCAGGTAATCACTTCAGATGCGTCATCATTTTCGTCCATCGGTAGGACGCAACTAAATATTAGCTACTGGGTTAATGCTCCACTGACTTTGGAGACTGCAACGCCTGGTGTCGAGGTTTTTGTTGCAAGACTTGCGAGCGCGCATGTAACAAAACACGTTACATAAATTGTATCACCAATCGATTCTGACTGAATGGTGAGCATTTTCTGGCAAACATGGCTTGGCCATGTTGATATACATTGTTGACCGCTCGATCTGCGACAACTTTTCATGTTCAATTTTGGATCAAAGGTATCGATCTACAATCTCCGTGCGCGATGTTCTCGATGTCTTTAGAACCCAGATAAATTTTTTGACAAAGCTGAATTATATCGATTTAGAAAGAGTCAGCTAACCATTATAAATTAAGAGCGTCGGTGATGTACTTCCATGCAGTCGTTCAACGCCTGATTTCTGCAGTTTATTGACCTCAGAATACAAACAGAATTGAGCTCACGGTACCTCACGGTTTCTGTTCTGGTTACAAGGTAAAAAAAAAACAATAAAACGAAGAAAAATGTGTCACTTGTTAACAAACAAGCTATATCCGGGGATTTTGGAGGGATCACCGTAGGAAGGGGTTTTGTCAACCCTGTGATCCCCCTTGGTAAGGCTCTGCCTACGCCCCTGCCTACACACAAAAGTAGATCAAGTCGTATGCGTTGCACGGTGGGCAATGAAGTGTCCGTTGGGCCGATGCATTTCTAAGGCAGACAGCTTCCCGGAGGCTATTTTCTGCGATGGTGTGGTGTGAGGGAAGATAGTTCGGAAAAAGATGCTGTTGCAGGTGTCCAATACGTGTTTCATACACAACGTAGTAGTAACGCTGGTCCAAAAGTATGCAACAAAGCAGCCATACGATCAGTTCGCAGCAGCCATGCGGGAGGCATCCGGGCCAGGGCAGTGGCCACCGACGGCGGACAGGAACAGGGCCTAGATAAGGAACATATGACAGATGGGCGTTATCATGCGGCGGAATTTTTAAAAGTCTCCAGTTTTGTCCTTTGTCACATTGTTTCTAGCAGTTTCAAACTCCTGAATTCGTTTCCGCCTAGAATGCTGCGACAAGTCTTATCTCTTAAAAAGCAGCCAGCGAAATGAAGGCGCGTGACAAATCTGTCGCACTGTGAGCCATCCGTTCACTTTCAAAATTCTCACCAGCCTATATTCAAACCGTATTTTGGCATCTACACTGTGGAGGCAGATGCGTCCTTAATGACCCAAAATGCCTACCGCTCGTGGCATCTCGCCTCCCCAGGAAAGACAATGTTAAAATGGACGAATAATCTAGGGAAGCTGGATAGCTTTATTTGCCAAATGACAGATGAGTCGAATCGGCAAGATTGTGCACTAGTGATAGACAGCTCCAGATGCATATCTAGCATAACAGTCACGATATTTGAAAAAGGAGCGACAACAACCTCCATCCCTACTCCCCCCGCCTGTCATCGCGCTCGCTTTCCAGAAAAAGTTCCTGAAGCACACTCTGAGCTTGCCCCCCCCCCCACTTTTTGAAACGTTCCTACGCTTATGCATTATACGCTATCTCACTGAGATTTTAGCTGTTATTTGAAATGCCTGCCAACTTGCGTGCATCTCCTGTATCATAATCATATAATTTGCTTGACAACTATACACCCGCACACATATATACATGCATAGGTGCATATGCTTATCACACACACACACACACATGTATATATATATATATATATATATATATATATATATATATATATATATATATATATGCAAATATATGTATCACAAAATCATTTGCATTTTATAAATCAGGTGCACTCAAAAAAGACTGACGACCGTGCACAGCATGTTTTAAACTGACATTTCATGCCTCATGTTCAATTGAACGATCGATAATGTTCAGGGAATTTTCGCCTCACATGGCGTTACTAATTGCACATCTCTCCTCAGGTGTCGACCACGTCGTTTTCAGCTGTTCCAAGTTTGCCATTCCGTGGGTGGTCATTGGGTTAAATATTACCCACACATTTGTGCACGCTGGTTTCTGCGGCCGTCCCTGAGTGGCTCATATTACCCACATATTTGTGCACGCTAGTTTCTGCGGCCGTCTGTGAGTGGTTCAGACACCCCACTCCAGTATGCGGTCGGCACCTGGGGTTGGGTTCGCATAGCGGCTGATGGTTCTGACCTGGCAGATACGATCTGGCGAGAGGCGAAAGGGCCTCCATGATTATGGGACATGTCTGTGTCAAGGTATGTGATGACGTGTGAAAGGTTCCCCCACACGGTTGAAGACAATTTTTTTCTGACGAAACGTGCAGAAGGGTTGCCTCCGAGTTATTTCTGCAAGCCGCTTGCACTGAGCTAAAAAAGAAAAAGCTTGGTAGTTTGAAAAACCGGCATGTATTTCACGCCTCAATACAATCAGCACACAACAATGGAAGGCGACAGCTTTCTTTAAAGCTTTGCTACTGTAGGACTTGTAAATTTCCCTGCTTTGGTTCTGCACCCAATGGTCCAAAGGTGCTCACGAGAAACAGACGAAAACTCCTTAAAGTCAAAGGTAAAGCTAGTATGTAACATATAACACCAGATGTTACACAACTTGTTTGCGCTCAGCACTAAACGCATAGGTCCGCCGGCATTGTCACAGCACTCTATTACACATATCCCATTAGGAAAACAATAACAGATATGAAAGCCCACGCCAGTTACGCCACATCGTGGCATGTGTTATGTTCGCCATTCAAGAACACATGCGCGTCACAAAGGCACCTGTTCGCAAAGAACGCGGATTGCAAAATCCCAACGCGCATTGCAAAATCGCGTAGCACAGTATGCCAGTCTGGTAAAATTGCATTAACAAAACCCCAGCGGACATTCAGCCGAATATACCGAACGCGCTTCCTTCTACGCGCACAACCTGAAAAGGAGGGCGGGCCATGAATTGTCGACTGGTCTGATAGAAAACGCGGCACTTGTTCCTGCTTGCGCTAAGCCTTTCCAAGTCTTCAAAGGGACAGCCAGCGCACAGAACGGTAAAGCGGGACAAGACGATTGTTCCCGGGTAGTCGAACGAAATAACACTCCCAATCCTAAGACATGTTTGCATGTTTTCTTTTGCGTACTTTAAAACCTTGACGTCAATACAAAAAATGTTTCGACAGCCGAGGGATGCTACGCAATGTGCATACCACAAATGACAATACAAAAAACAAACGTTTCAATACTCGAAGGATGCTACAAACTGTGTATACCATACATAAAACGGAAGTGGAATGCTTGCAGCATCGTTGCAGTCGATCGCCAGCCAAAAGACATCAGCGAATGCATGCGTGTTTTGACCTATCTCTCCTTTCTTCTTGCTTATAGAGGTGTCCACTGGATTGTCAATTTTTGGAATTCCAAAAATGTCTTAAGTCAAATTTGGAAACAAGACGGTAGGGCCCAAACGCTTCAGATTTTTTTGACACCCGATATCATTCTGCCGCGTGGTAAATTGGTCAGCATCAACTTATCTAATGCACACAGATATGACTAACCCACGATAATTTTCTTTGTTTTAATTCAGTTCGAGCGAGTGAATGCAACGACGCAACAACTGAATGGGTTAGCTGATGAAGGAAGTTGTTATTTGATATGCAAAATTGAATTTTTTGGACAGCTTAACTTTTTCGACACTGGACGGACAGATGGCCCACCCTTAGACTTTGGATTTGACTTTGGACGAGAACTTCCGGAAAACGGCACCTTTGCTTACTACCCTTGCACACACCAACACTGGCGTGGCACTGCCGAGACGTCTGTGCAAGCAAGCACACGATATTGATGCATAATATCCGTAAACGATCGCCACAGCTTATGATCACTAAAATGTTAAGACGGCTAAGATTAGCATAGTTTTAGAATTCAATCGTGTTAATTGTGGTTGACAAAAATCTAAAATCATCAGGCCAACCAAATAAAGGTGGTCTTTGACCTCAACACGTACGAAGAAGCGGAACACACCAGATTTTGGCATCATTCCTTATGCAATGTCTTGGCTTTAGCATGAGATCGACAAGAGGTGATCGCCAGTGAGAGGTGACCGCAAATAAGAGGCGATCACCAATAGGAGAAAGCCAAGGAGAGATGACGACCAACGAGAGGTGCTCACCACTGGGAGGCCACCACCAATATTAGATGATCACCAACGCGAGGTGAACGCCAATGAGAGGTGATCACCAAAAAGAGGTAAGCGACCAACAATGAGAGTTGAACACCAATGACAAGTTACCACCGATGCGAGATGATCACCAATGAGACGTGACTACTAATGAAAGGTGAGCATGCGCTAGCGGTACTTCCCCTTCGGTTGTTTTTTTCCGCAGCGCTCCGGCCGGAGGGCAAAAACGTTTTGTTGGTTTAAAAGTGGGAATGTTTTCGTTGGACTGAATGTGTTGAGACTGCCAGGACCTCTACTTCGGAACCAGTTTGGCCAGCTCCATCCAATTTAAAACGATTCGGGGTATGATGATTCTTCACCTGGGCGCCTACCGACGATATGACGGTTCAAACTGGCACTGTGGGGGACCCAACCGATGGACGTTGGCCAAATAATTAAAACTGGATCGTCACTGCCGCCAGGGGTCTCTCTGGTTCCATGGACAGGTGCGCATCTCCCCTAGCCCGCTCAATGGGTGCTTATTGCAAATGATCACTCACATTCCGATCTCACGTCCAAATGCAAGGGGTGTGCTTCACTCGCGGTTAAATTTAACGAGCCAGACTTATTCCGTAACACAAATGTTCTAGAATACCTCCTCGACAACTCGGAATTTCCATTTGATGAAGCCGCTTTAATGGGAAAGGTGCACATGGGCTTCCTGTTCATCACTATGACTTAGGCCCCGGGGAAATGCCTTGGGATAAATTCGTAGAAAGCTTGGCACACTTCCCTCATTCGTACGCTACATTCATTTCTTTGAAAACTGCCTGCTCCGGCTGTAATAATTATGCCAGCTTTAAGGCCAACCATGAGCACAGCGAATTCCACCTACAGCTACAATCGGCGCGGCAGCGTCTCTGCGTATTGCATAGCATAGTTGCATACAGCTAGGTTAGGTTTTCGCCAGTCCAACCCATCTTTAGAGTTCGACGGAATGGATGACATATTGACTAAGTCTCAGTTGCAGGGCAGATGTGTTTCATCTTTACAGATATGTCACAGCTTGCATCGATTCTCATCTGCCGTGTTCATAGCCCACCAAAGATCGCACCTGTTTTAGATTAAGCATGACGACACACGGCCTCGTGCGGACGCGACTGTGCAGCCCTACCAGCTCCAACACCTGAGTGAAGAACAGACGTATTACACAGGAAGCAAGCGAGCATAAACAGGCATTAGCAATAAGCCCCAATAGCAAGCAGGCCACCATAGCAGCTAAGCCCCGAGAGCAAGTACGCCACAATAGCAACCAAGGCCCACTAGCAAAAAAGCTCCAATGACAACTAAGACCCAATAACAAGTAAGTCCCAATCAGAAAGTGTCAGCAGCGACTGATCATGAATGTCATTCCGCGAGATTCATCATTACATTCCAGCGAGCCTTGAAGCAAGTAGCTATTGCGCAACCATCGGCGGCATGTGATTACCGCCCGTGTTTAAAGCTGTCAAGTCTGAAAAGCTGCATTCATGACTTGATTGGCAAGAACAACGTATGCCATTACACGAGCACATGTCTAGTTGTTTCATCGCCTTCGACTATCTGCGCAACAGACACGTTTGGCACAGCAGCCTGCTTTTAAGCCACCTGACGTGAACCTCATGCACGAGCACGCCACACAAACAAAACACCTCGTACACCGCTCCCCACGCCAGCATCTCGTCCGTTTACCGTGTTGCGCGGTCTCTTGTCAATCACGCAGCCGTTGGCGTGGTAGACGAGCTGGCCGCCTCTTATGGACGCAGCAGCCTGCCTCTGCGTGCTCTCGGCGCGCCGGTCAGGCCTCCTGGCGACGGGCAGGTCGGTTCGGCACTTGCTGGCGCCTCCTCGCTGCGGGCTATGACGCAGTGCCGCGGCCGGCACGTCGGTAGACGGGATGACGCACATGTGGCCGCCGAGCAGCGTCGGCGACGGCGGGACATCTGCCACGACCTGCTCACGGATGGTGGTATATCTCAAAGCGGCCGGAGAACCAGCGGTCCGTCTCGCAGCGGCCGGAGAACCAACGGTGCGCCCCGCGGCGGCCGGAGAACTAACAGTGCGTCCCGCGGCGGCTGGAGAATCAACAGTGCGTTCCGCGGAGGCTGGAGAGCCAACAGTGCGCTCCGTGGCGGTCGGAGAACTAACAGTGCGTCCCGCGGTGCCTGGAGAATCAACAGTGCGTTCCGCGGAGGCCGGAGAACCAACGGTGCGCTCCGCGGCGGCCGGAAAACTAACAGTGCGTCCCGTGGCGGCTGGAGGATCAACAGTGCGTTCCGCGGAGGCTGGAGAGCCAACAGTGCGCTCCGTGGCGGTCGGAGAACTAACAGTGCGTCCCGCGGCGGCTGGAGAATCAACAGTGCGTTCCGCGGAGGCTGGAGAGCCAACAGCGCGCTCCGTGGCGGTCGGAGAACTAACAGTGCGTCCCGCGGTGGCTGGAGAATCAACAGTGCGTTCCGCGGAGGCTGGAGAGCCAACAGTGCGCTCCGTGGCGGTCGGAGAACTAACAGTGCGTCCCGTGGCGGCTGGAGAATCAACAGTGCGTTCCACGGAGGCTGGAGAGCCAACAGTGCGCTCCGTGGCGGTCGGTGAACTAACAGTGCGTCCCGCGGCGGCTGGAGAATCAACAGTGCGTTCCCCGGCGACCTGGGAACTAACAGTGGGTTCCACGGTGGGCGGAGAGCCGACAGCGCGCTCTGTTGCGATCGGGGAGTGAACGTCTCGCCCCGCGGCGGCCGGCGAGCGGGCGAACACCAGCTTGATTCCTGCGGGGAGACGCCCCGGTCCACCAGGTGGGCAATGTGACCATCTAACCGACCCTGGCGGACCGTCGGCGGTATCCCCAGCGTCCAATCCGGCACCTTCCGTTGTTGGAACGCAGCGTGCCGCGGCGGCCAGCGGGGCCAGCTTGGCGACATCTGGGCACGGTTCATTCGCGTCGGGCGGCGGCGTGGAGGCCCAACACCAGCGGCCGGGCTCTGTCACCAGAAGGCGGCCGCGGCGCACGCCCACCACGCGCCGCGGCCAGCGCAGCCGGTACTGGCCGCCGGCGGCGGGTGTCAGCAGCGGCGTCGGCCTCAGTCCGAACACGCCGACCCAAGGCCCGTCGGCACCGGGTGATGACGGGCTCGCGCCAGACTCATCCGCCGGTACCGGAGACTCGGCCCCCGAGAAGTGGGTCGACGAGCTTCCCTGAGTGCCACCCGAGCTCTGTAAGAGTGCGGTGCGGAGTCAGGCCTTGTTTTTGTGGTGAGAATATTGCTAAATTATGAGTTATAGCGTGGAACGCATGCATGCAACCCCGGAGGCATCAGCCTCATAACTACAGCGGAGCATAGCTGAAGGGTTTCGCACGGTTAAGTTCTTGTCATAAAGCGGGACAGAAATTGAGACAGAAACATACTGGCGTGTAATTTGACCGCATCAGACGCGTCACGTGGCACACTCCAGGCACACAACACATGCCACGGATGGAATAATTGTTCGGACTATCGTCCCCGTCTGGCCTGTTAGTATGTACACGACGTTTCGGCCAGATAACTCTTCGACCGTTTTCGAGAGCTATGGAGTCCTCAGAGGGACTGGACGATGTTTTGCATGAGTTTCCTGCTGGGGACTCCAAAACACCTGACAATGGCCGGAGAGTGAACTGGCCGAAACGTTGTGTGCACGCTTAGACACCAGACGAGGATGATAGGCTGAACAATTATTTCGTTCGTGACACTGGTACCTCGTCTCGATCCTTCCGGAAAACTGGCACACATCCGTTCTCCGGACAGGTTGAGTGCACAGAGTCCCATACCTTCACGTTGAATTCAATTCTGCCCATTAGGGGCCGTCCAAGAATTGTGTTACACAGATAGTGGAAAGGAGCGGGGTTTTTGGCGGAGCGTTACCAAGGCATGGCACGGTAGTGGTTTGGACCGGAGGGGGGGGGGGTCTCGTGAGGTGAACAGGATGTGGCCGCCGATGGGTCTCAGCCCGACGAGCCCGCTCAAAAAGCTATAAATAAATTGGTGCTCCACAAAAAACCAAATGTTTTGTCATATCGCACTTCTGTACACCTTAACTCGCCATGTCCCACGTGGTTGCATCCAAATAATGACTGACCCTTTCCATTTCAAACTAGATCAAGCAGGTCAGGTAGAACAGCGATGGTGATAACCAGCGCCGCTAACTTTCTGCAGTACTGCTTCCGAGTTCAGCCGCAGAGCAAACTGATACAGCTTTGGCATTAACTGTAAGCTACTTCGGCATAGTCTCGCGGCCACAGAAAGCACGCCCATCTTCGGCAGCCGTCAGACAAGCTCAGCGCGGTGAAGCCTTGTTCTGCTGATAACGTGATAACACAGATGTTATGTGCCTTCTTCGGGCACTCATTGTTATGTTTAAAAAATGCAATAGATGCGGTGATGTGCGGTATGTGCGTCATTACGTGCACAGCCAAGTATGTATCATGTCCTGTCTTTGCTTTGTGATCACGGGCAGGCATGGAGGATTTAAAAAACTTCAATGATGGTTCAAAGCACCTCAATCGCAGGTGCTGCACATTTGTATATTGCAATTACACCACTCTGCATGTCAGCCTCTCACCCAGATCTCTGATAGTGCGGTCCTCGGGACAAAAGCAGAACCGTCCTTCACGCTTGGGCTCAAAATTAATGTCCCTGGATGCTTTGCTTCGGGCTGCCGTTATTATCGAAGATTCTCGCATTTCTGTATGTTACTCATACATGTTAATCAATGTACTGAGCATCCTGCACCAGGTAACTACAGTACTACTGATTCCTCAAGCAATTGCAAATATTACTGCACACACATGTACACTAAATGCACCTATGCATTGGCCCATTATATCCAGTTTGCATGTTTCTCTCATCAGTGACCAAAATCACTGTGCATGTGCAGAATCAAAGTTTATGACTCTGTGAGTCTTGATCCAGACTCCAGATCCAGATTCCAGACCTCTGATCTTTATTTCCAGGTTCCATATGTGGCACATGCCACAAAAAGGTCAAATACAACAACATCCACATTTTTTTGTGAACTAAAATAAATAACCATTCATACAATTTCAGCACAATTTCATGCCTTTGCATGGAGGATAAAACTAAGATCTTGAATTTTTTCATTCAAGGATTTTGTTGCTGTTTGACACACTGAGCAAGACCCCCTGCTTACACCAGTCCAAACCCTTGCATGCCTTGGTAACACTCCATAAAACCCCTGCTCCTCCCCTTACCTCTGTAACACAATTTCTGGATGGCCCCCAACAAGCACAATTTTGTGATACAATCAGTTCGAGCATCAAAGAATGGGCCTACGTGCACTTGACCTCTTGCAGACACATGATGTTTTCATTTCATTATTAGCTGCTGAAATTGATTGATGCTTCCTAAAATTGACCACACCATTGATTTCAAAACACTGACAATCAATTAGTTCACCAATGAACCATGTATTATGGCAGCACTGAACCTGCTGTTATCACTGCCACATATACAACAGCAAAATTGGGCATTACATACATATAATATATAAGTAATCCCTCACCTGTTTTCCACTACTGGTGCTTGAATCTGGCTGCAAACCATCCTGGCTTTCCAGCAGAACACAATGTGCTGGTCTCTCAGGAGATCCCATAATCTGAAAAAAGATTATTATGGTTACCCTTCAGACTGCTCTTATTTGATGGTTGTGTTGGAATCACAGAGAGTGTGAATCAACCACTAATAATCATACACATAATAAAAAGTCCACATAATAAATAGTCCAGATTAAAAATACACATAATACATAGTCCACATAATAAAATTGTAACATGTACTACATGCTGTAACAACAATAAGAAATGTGTGCTAAATAGAAGTAACACTTTTTATCCTTAATGTGTACCAATACCCTTACAACTATGCACTTTATTCTTATTACAGCTCCTCCCAATGGTGCAAATTTACATGAGAAGCTGCAAATTATAACATGAAAGACAAAAGACCAGAAATGTTTCCATTGATGAAAAATCTTCACCCATATGATAATCTTCTAGGGCAATGCAATGAAATCCAAGTGGCTCAAAGAGTTCAGAACTGAGATTGAAATTGAAAAAAGACCAGAACATCTTGCTCAAGTATGTTAAAAACATTTGCACTTAATGTTATGCCACATTTAATGATGTAACTGAATAGAACCAATGGGCAATGTCAAGTGGAAGCCTACACAATCTAAGCAGCCAGCACTCAGGTTATGTGAACCAACAAATACACAGCATGGGCAACTACAATAAGAAGCATTCTTATCCTAACGCGATCTATTGCTTAGCGTTTTCAGATCGTGGCGTTAAGTTTACCCGATATATTTGAAACAGCCATGAATGAACACACTCTAAATATGTACAATCACTATATCAACAGCTCCAATTCCCAACGGTCAAAACAGAGCCAAAACATGTATGGAAAGGCTTACTTAGTTCATCCTCAGCACGACCAAATGTCATCCCCTACTTCCCGCACCCCCCACCCTCGGCACCGCCGAAGAAGCAGGGACGAGCTACGCGGGTTTCAAGGTGGCATAGATGAGACGAAAGGTAAAGATGGAAAAGGTCTGTTACCTTACGTTTGGTCGATTACCAGTGACGTCATGTCGTCAGCTGATGCTCCATGGCCCCTTCAGCCGGCACAACCGAACGTGTGTGCGTGTGTGTGTGTGTGTGCGTGAACGTCTCCTTGTCACCACCGATCATGTACCCATGTCGTCACCGGCGATCGTTAACCCATGTAACGCATATTCGTCACCACTGGCGATTGTGTACCGATGCAACGCCACATTGTCGTCCCGACGCGACATTGTTGTCGCGACGACCTTGTACCTATGTAACGTTGCATCCTCATCAGCGACAATCATGTAGCTATGTGACGCCACATCGACGTAAAAGACGATCATGTACCGATGCAACGGCACATCATAGTCATCACAGTCAGCTGCCCTGTAATGCCACATCGTTGTGAGCGACGATTGCGTAGCCATGCAACGCCACGTCGTCGTCAGCGGCGATCCTTGAATAAAACCAGATCATCGTCAGGATGATCGTGTACCCATGTGATTTGTGTGTGTGTGTGACTCCTGTGGATGTGTGACATCTGGTCACCTGTGATCCATTTGCGTGTGTGACGTCTTTGTATGTGTGACGCCTTCGCGTGCGTCATGTCTGCGCAGGTGTGACGCCTATGTGTGACGCCTGCGGATGTGTGACACTTGCGGATTTATAACTTCTGCAGATGTGTGACGCCTGCGCAGTGTGTGAGATCTGTGAGTGTAAGACCACAGTGTGTGTGTGAAGCCTGTGTATGACGCCTGTGAGTGTGTGATACCTCCCTTTGTGTGATACTTGCGTATATGTGAAACGTTTGTCCGTATGGCCCTTTCATGTATAGATGGCTAAACGAGGCAAGCGGACATCCTGTCATCGATACCTGGCAATTCCCGAAAGCGAACATTCTGTCGTTCCTATCTCACTATTTGTGGTAACTGCCGATCCTATATCAAAGCAGCGCTTATTCGTCGCTGGCGACGATCCTGTAACCAAGTAACGCCTATCAGTTTTCAGTGGCGATTCTTTAACGTATAAATAACTAATTGCCGTTAGCAGCGATCCCGTTACCAAGTGACGCCACATCGTCGTTAATGACGATCCTCTCACCAAGTCGCGGAGCCAAGTGACGCCTTTCCATCATACCTCGCGATCCTTTCGCCAAGTGGTGCCTATTCGCGGTCAGTGAGGATCCGATCACCAATTTTCCTCAAGTTAAGCAAGTAACGCGCATTCGTCGCCAACAGTGGTCCTCTGACGAAATGACGCCTATTCGTCGTCAGTAACGATGCCGTCACCAAGTGCAAACCATTTATCGTCAGGCGACGATCCTGTAGCCAAGCGACGCATGTTCGTCGTCAGGGACGATTATGTAACCAGGTGACCAAGTGAAGACTTTTCATGGTAAGCAGCCACCATGTAGCCACGTGTCGCTTATTCGTCGTCAACAACGATGCTGTGACGAAGTGGCGCCTAATCGGCGTCGACGACGATTCTGTCGCCATGTAACCTCTATTCGTCGTCAGCGACGATCCGATCCGATCCATACGCGCGCGCGGGTGTGTGTGTGTGTGTGTGCGTGTGTGTGTGTGTGTGTGTGTGTGTGTGTGTGTGTGTGTGTGTGTGTGTGTGTGGTGTGAGTGTGAGTGTGTGTGTGTGTGTGTGTGTGTGTGTGTGTGTGTGTGTGTGTGTGTTTGTGTGTGCGTGCGTACGCGTGCATGTGTGTGCGTGTGTGTGTGTGCGTGTGTGTGTGCATGTGTGCGTGCGGGCGTGCGGGCGCATGCGTGTGTGCGTGTGTGTGTGTGCGTGCGTGTGCGTGTGTGTGCGTGTGCGTGTTTTTGTGTGTGTTCGCCTGCGTGCGTGTGCGTGCGTGTGTGTGCGTGTGTTTGTATTCAGTACCTTTCTTTTTAGCAGGAACAATGTCAACTGCACAAGTGGTGATTCTCTATGTGTTTCATGCGAGTGGCAGTGCGCTCCAACAATTTCATTTACTCTAACCCTGAACACAGATCATCTGGCCGCGACCACCCAAAAGCCGAGATGATTTGGCTACGGACGGTCATGTGTGCGAAGTTTCGTGGGCAGCACACGCGCCTCGTGTGGACCTGGTTCACGGCTGACTGTTTTGGCGCCAATTGCTCATTTTTCGGTGGCAACATCTGCGCCTCGTAACAGCATATGCGTGGCTGCCGTTGTAGGGCGACACCGCTTCAGTGTGGCGCACAACATAAAGGGCGCTGTTCGTGGCGCGAGATGGTGGCGAGAGATGGCCCTCGTGATGGCATTCCTGATGCCGCGGGGCGTTTGAAGGTGAGCGGCTCTCGTGGCGCCGATCAGAATGTGACCAGATCACGATGTGCCGGGGACGCGTCCGCAAAAAGTGAATAACACCATTGACTTAAAATTGTTATGTTATTGTTGTTTCAGCTCATTATATGTATTGGTCATCATACCAGGTCGCATGTATTTTCGGGCTAGTATTATTGTTTCACTTTCATTTCAGGGTTTTACGTACAATAAAGCAGCAACACCAAAATGGCGCCTTTGAAGTGGTTAGAATGAGCCGCAGTCATGTAATGGCTGTTCCAGTATCGGCCTTCGTTTTTTTATACTGCTCCCCGTAACTTTGTGCTACATAAGCTTGTAAAAACCAAATTTCAGATCAGCACTCCGCATAGGATGCTAGCCGGCTTTTGCAAAGGCGAAGGACCAACGGAGGTACTCCTTGGTTGAAGGGATTTTGGCCACTTGGCCACAGTATGTGGATTATCAGCCATTTTGTGGCCATTTTGGCCACATAATTTGGGCCACTTCTTCCCAATCAACGTCGTTAGCGAGCAAACGGGCCGTCGCTGCCGGCGCGGCGGCGGCGTCTCCGCGATGGTGTGAGCGGCCCTTCTGCCGATTGGTCCCCACCATCTGGAGCCCATATGTGGGCCACGTGGGTTTGTGGGGACACGCGTGTGGGGACGCAGGTCCCTGCCGAGCAGTCCACGTTCAGGCTCCGACGGCGCGGCTGGACGCGAGCCGCGTCAGCGTTTACGACGACGACGACGACGACGACCTCGGAGTGTGCGATGCCGCCCTTCCAACCCCTCTCTTACATTTGCCTTACAACTATTTGGCTAATAGGGGCTCTTCCTTTTCAACGCCTGTTTTCGAATCAAGTCGATTGCCCTCCGGAATACTGAAAAACTCTTTCGCACGAACAAACGTCCATGGAGTAAATTATATTTTTTTAATTTATTTTATAATTTTTAATTTTTTTTAATTTAACACTACGTGGTGGAACAAAAAGAGAACAAAGACCAACGCATGTACAAGTCGTGATTACCTTTTATGAAAGATTCAGGTACAGCATACGTGCTCACAAAGAATGATGCACTGACACAACAGTTCTTTCAAAACAGCTATTTTGCCTTCTTGGTCAGTTCTTTCAAAAGATTCCCAATTCCTACGCCTATACTTGTAGTCCTCCCCATGCCCGACCTTCACGACTTCCATCCGGTTACAACTAAGTCGTGAAAGAGCATCACGTCATTGCACCGGATTAGTCATCAAAACAAAATTAGTCCACCACATAAAAAGTGAAGGTCGTAAAAACCGACAGCTGGTTGCTAATGGTCCTTGCCGATATCAACTCTGACGTGATCAGCAATATTGCGTTTTAAATCTATCATTTATCTCGTATAACGCCGGTGTTTTTCGCACTACAGATCGAGGGTTTTAAGGGATTTTAAACTGTGACGCCATTTACTCTGACCAAGTACAGGCTTACGTTGGTGTCCTTATTCGCAGCAGGCGCTTAGAATCGGTGGCACTTCTTCGTCATGCCAAGAATGTCCGAGTGCATCCCCTGAACCAAACCATTTCCGGCACGGTTATACATGTGGATTTGGTTTATCACATCGCCCATTGCGCCATTGCTCTTTGCCAAGCATACTCTGGGTTGAGAGAGAGAGAGAGAGAGAGAGAGAGAGAGAGAGAGAGAGAGGAGGAGAGAGAGAGAGAGAGAGAGAGAGGAGAGAGAGAGAGAGAGAGAGAGAGAGAGAGATAGAGAGAGAGAGAGGTAGGAGAGAGAGAGAGAGAGAGAGAGAGAGAGAGAGAGAGAGAGAGAGGAGAGAGCAGGGAGAGAGGAGAAGAGAGGAGGAGCGAGAGAGAGAAGAGAGAGAGAGAGGAGATGATATATATATATATATATATATATATATATATATATATATATATATATATATATATATATGGTCAAGAGCATTGTCAGTACGTCGCCGCGACGAAAAGAACCGTGGCCGGGGCAGCGCGATGAGTCAGTGTGTGCCGTGTGCGAATATCGATCTCTCAGTATCACGTATATGCCTCCAAGGCAACCTTTTGATGGTTGTTTGCTCCAATTTGCTCCAAGGACTATCGGGTCGAACTGAGTCTGGGCCACGGCCGTGATGAATCCTGCGCATTTGACGTGCCGGACTGCGAGAGCGGGCTCGATGGGCCGGTCCGAGACGAACCCCGTTTTACCAGAGTCACGATGTAGCGGATCTTTGGCCTCAGAATCATTCTTGAAAACTTGCCTTCTGCAGTTAGTGCATAGCCTGCCACCGAGGTACAAGTCTCAAAAGCAAGCGGTGGCTAAAGATAAATGAGGGAAAAAGACTTCACTGCTTGGGTCAATGGAAACCGTTGCCTTCACCATGCGTGTCTTGCGCAGCCGCGTCAATGCGTGATGACGTCTGTCCCCTAAATGTGCAGAAAATTATTACATGCGCCTTGTATGGTGCCTTTTGATGGTCATTAATCGCGAGTAAGACAATGCCCTCGTATTTGGGCACAATTAAAACGTAGAAATGCTACTGATGTAATGTGTATAACCGGAAAAGTAAAACAAAGTGCAGACGCGATCAGGCACTAAAAAAAAAACAACGTTGCACATGGCTTCATTG